GAATTAGTTAATTGTTGCAGTTTGCTTGTTTATAGATATATTTTGATCAAACTTGGAAAATTAGTTATTTTATAGTAAGGTATTGATATTTTACTTAAAAAAACAAACTATAATAACCTACCTGTAGCAGCAAACCTAGGTGAACCTAATTTTATTTATATACATTTTTTAATAAAACATCTAATCAAATGGAAATTTGCTGAGTCTGCAGGTTTGCTGTGGCGGAGTTTTTTAATTCATAAAATAAGCTTAAATTTTTAGATTTAATAGTATCACACTATTTAACTAAATAGGATAAATTATCATAATCCTTGAAAGTAACGGTCAATTTCCATGTGTTTCACCTATTTTTGATAAATATAAAAAACTAAATATACTTAATAACAAATAACTCAAAACCATTGGGTTAAGAGAAAGATGGTAAATACAAAAAATGTGTATTTTTAGATGACCTACATTTTGTACATTTAGCTTTTTCCTGTATCTCTAATAATAAAGTCACTATAGCAAAAAATACAGAAATATGCCGCCATTTTCCAATATGGCGGCCGTAGCACAGCTTCAATTTTAGGGGACTTTTAGTATGTTCAAAAGGAAGGTACACCCAACATCTGTACCAAATTCCCCGGTTGTGCTAATTTTTTTGGGGTCAAAACATATTTTTACTGTACTATAAATATAATAGTGAATTGTACATGTTAATTTCCATAATTTTCATAAAATTCCTTTATTGAGTAGAAGGGTCTTGCGATTAGCCACTTCTTCAACTCCTGGTGTAGCTTGTTGCCAGTCAGGTCTCTCAGGTAGTCAGGTAGATGGTTCCTCAGCTTGCAGCCAGTGTAGGAAGGTTTTTTCTCCCAAAGAGTTGTCCGGTGAACTGGTAGTGCAAATTTGGAGCCATGACGGGTGTTGTAGTGGTGCAGGTCTTGGTTTCTTGGGGGGTTTATTTCATTCACATACTTTATGGTTTCAAGGTATGTAGAGAGACACCACTGTGAGGATTCCTAGGTTTGCGAATGCTAGTCTGCAAGTCTGTGGTGGGACAAGGTTGGCGAGGGCTCTTATGGCTTTCTTTTGAAGGACAAGAATTCGGTTCATATTTTTTGTTGAAGTTCCTCCCCACACTGTCAAGCCATATCTAAGATGCGACTCTACCAGTGCGAAGTAAGCTGTTTTGGCCACAGAGAGTCCGCCTATGTAGTTTATTCTTCTGACGACATATATTCCAGTACTGATTTTTTTGCTTAGGTGGTTGATGTGCTCTTTCCATGTTAGTCAAGGATAATGTTTTCACAATGATGCATGAATTTAATTAGGCAATGTGACGGTAATTAAAGGTTATTATACATCATATTAAAGCTTATTTGATGAGAAAGTTTTTTATAATACTTTATACCTTCAGTGGAACCCTCCTGCAACCTAGGTATAAGGATTTAAATTTTTATTTTAGTTTTTGTCTTCGTTAAACATTTTAACTTTGATGATCAAACTTAAGTAGAATGTCATTCAACACCCCAATGTTTATGTATTACTGTTATTGAAAATTACCTTTATTTTAACAGTAAATGTTTTTCTTATATAGTAATATAAGTTTTTTCACAACTATTACCATAATTTTGTTAATATCTTAATATATCTTTTATCCTCTTACTGTTTGGGAACCTCAAATAGGCATCATTCAATCACCATTATCATGTAGTTTGACAGATAATTTTATTAAACAATTATGACCGGACACCCTGTATAGTGGTATAGATATAAAATTTATTTTGACCTTTTTCTTAATCTCAATGGTAAAAATACCACCAGTTTTCATAGCTATACTGTGTTTAAAACATATTTTGGTACGAGGGTGTCTGTAAATGAATAAATGAATAATGAATAAATTATTTTATTTCCATCAAAAAATTACAAAGTAAAAACAATTTTAATATTGGAAATATAACTGACCACTTTATCAAGTTGTGTGGTCAGTAGAAAATTAATGTATCCATCAAGCTCCTGTCAGGGCTTAGCAAACTGGTTCAAATCTGATATAAACATTCTGATTTAACCTCATTCACTACTGTCATAGCTGGTTCCTACTCATATGCGACGATTAGTCTTGTCATAGTAGCAGAAAACAATATGGGAACGTTTATCATCATCTCAGGAAAAACTCCCAGGGCCAGAGAGGGAACGCTGTTCCTGCTTGACTACACCACTGCAGGGTTTACTGTTGTCTTTGGTAGTTTTCGAGACGTCCCCTCAATCTCTCGTTCAGTCACACCACAATCTGCATGGCAAATTTCTCTAAACATATATAGTCACTGCCTCAAATGAGACTAATGAATGACTGCAGCTGGCCTACACCGCACAAATGTTTATGACTACCTCCGAACTCTATCCATCCCTTAAAACTTTACTCCGAACATTTCTGTCGACTACCTACACTAATCATAGAAAGTGGTTTATACCTGGGAGAGCATCGCCTTTTCTATACATTATATATCTGGAAGACACTCAACAGTCAGATTTTCAAATAGTTGTTCTGATCCTTTCAATGTGTTATCAGGAGTTCCACAAGGCTCCCTTCTGGGACCCTACTTGTTAAATTTATTCATGAACGATATTAGTGAGGCGATTGAGTGCAAGTTTTTGCATCAGTGGTGTGGAAGCGCTTTTACAAAAACCCCCTCATATGATTGGAAAGGATCCAAAGAAGATTCACTAGGTTCGTTGGAGTTAAAACGGGTGTTAGATATTTTGAGGTCCTTGTTGCTGACTTAACAAAGCACTTTGATCTTCTACCTCTGGAAGTTCAAATCAACTTTAGCCACTTACTGATTGTTGTCGTCCGTCTAGTGATATTTGTACATTCATCTGTTGTATCACTGTTATGTATCTCTGTAGTTTATAGTTTACCTTTATTGAGTCACACTGTTATCTATGTTTGTTATATTTGCTGTTATGTTACCAGATGTCCATAGTTTATTACCGTTGTTAAGTAGCATAGGTTGTCAGTCTTTGTTATCCTATTTAATTTATTATCTGTCCTTGTAAACTCATTAGGCCTACCGCACACGAGAGACATTTTGTCGGCCGACTATTTAGTCGTAGTCGGGAGTCAAAGTCGGCCCCATAGTGGTAAATCTGAGCGCGCACACGGGCCGACCGCAGCAAGACAGTCGGCAGACTGTCTGCAGACAGTCGGGGCAGTTTGGTGCTGACCGATTTTCCCGCCGACTGCTCCCCGACTCAACTGTCGTGTCTTATTGATAAAGGCATGGAGATAAGTTTGAATGCACACACTGACGACTAAAAGTCTGCCAGTCTGACAGTCGAGTGTGTTGTTATCATGTGTATTATTATTGTTATTATGATTAGTATTTAATTTGTGTGTTATTGTTATTATTAAGGCTTCGACAACCACCAGTGCAAGTGTTTTGAGGGACGAGAAAGTTGATAAACTTATCGATGAAGTTAAGGCACGGTCCCCTCTTTATAAAAATACTTTGAAGGAGTATTTGGCCATAGTAAAAAAATACCCCCGCTGCAGCAAACCTGCAGACTAAGTGAATTCCTATTTGCCTGATTTAATATTGTATTTAATCTATTTCAATAAAATTAGGATAAACGAGTACCTAGGTTTGCTGCTACAGGGAGGGTATTCAGCGTGTGTTTTAGTAAAACATTAATAGCTGAGTATAAAAAAATAGATTTGCCAAGTTTTATCAAAATACATCCATAAACAAGCAAACTACAACAGTTTACTTGTTTTACATATAAATGACATGAAAATTTTAACTTTAAATACTTTGGAATTTCCCTGTAACCATTATGATAACAATAAGCATGCTAAATTATTTGTTTTTTAAGCTCTGCAAAATGTTTTCTAAAGAAATTACAGAATCTTTTGTTTTTATCGTAAAAAATGGGAAACCCCCATTTTTACCTGATAAAACCCCCCATAAACCCCCGTTCCCATAGTCCGATCATGCTGGTTTGCGAACTCCTTAGAATAAAATAGATGTAGGTTTACACGTTTTTTTTTTTCGGGTTATCGTACAAACGCACAAATATATATTTGTGTGTGTGAATTTGAACGGATGGTGTTTTTGGCCTCTGGGAACATCAAAACGAAAATGTAAATCGGTCCCGGTCCCGGGACCAGGTCTCACCATGAGACCTACGGTTACAGCTTATTCCCTAAAAGTTATGGGATGAGGTATTTGAAGCCGGGGTATTAACAATTGGTCAAAAAAATCAACACTCATTCATGAGTACATGACAAATTTGTCTGGATATTTCCTCAAATCCGAGTTTATTGGTAGCCTAAATCTGGCCTTTTAAAGTTCTCGGACTATAAATTAGATGCACCCAGTATTTTCTCTTAAGTTTTCTAGCACGGAATCTTATCAGTAAAGCACATATGACAGCGGTTTCTGTCACATACATCCTGTTGACACTCGAAAGACGACTAAACAGTCGTGTCGTGTGCACACCCATAGTCAACGACCAAACAATCTTGACGACTTTTCGATTGTCCACCCGACTCCAGCCAGACAGATGGCCAACAGTCGGCCGACAAAAAGTCTCTCGTGTGCGGTAGGCCTTACTGTAAAACTTTTGTTACCTACCTTCTTAGTCTAGTCTATTGAATCCACACCTGAATTTAGCCATTCGTTATTAACTTCCATTATTGTCAATATCTTGTATAGGTATCTAGACTCTTAATTATCCTTTCCACCACCTTGTATACAACACATATTGTAATATTGTTATCGCCGTTGATAAATAAATAAGACTGATCATTACACAGGAAAGAAAACTGCTAAAATAAAAGTGGATGAAGTTAATATTAAGGTGGATTTGAACTAGTTCACTTGGCGGCAGTGGAAGCTTGTTGGAGACCTTAGTTTACAAACAAAACTCATTATTTAAATTTAGTTTTTTTTTTAAAAACAACACTCTTGATAAAGACTTTCACTTGAAATTTGAATTTGATTTATATAACCTACCTTAAAAGAAGTTCTTTCGGTAGTTTTTTATTTATCTGTGCTTCATCTTCAAGAAAAACTCGAGACAACTGAAACAAAACAAATTGTAAAGATCAATATCTTTCTGAGTACAGTAATCAGCTAGAATATTGAATTAACCAACATTTCAAGACATGAGAATTAACTACTATAATGTATTTGTAATAAAGATTACAATTGATGAATCCAGTAATCAGCTAGAATATTAAATTAACCAACATTTCAAGACATGAGAATTAACTACCTACTATAATGTATTTGTAATAAAGATTACAATTGATGAATCCAGTAATCAGCTAGAATATTAAATTAACCAACATTTCATTCAAGACATGAGAATTAACTACTATAATGTATTTGTAATAAAGATTACAATTGATGAATCCAGTAATCAGCTAGAATATTAAATTAACCTACATTTCATTCAAGACATGAGAATTAACTACTATAATGTATTTGTAATAAAGATTACAATTGATGAATCCAGTAATCAGCTAGAATATTAAATTAACCTACATTTCATTCAAGACATGAGAATTAACTACTATAATGTATTTGTAATAAAGATTACAATTGATGAATCCAGTAATCAGCTAGAATATTGAATTAACCGACATTTCATTCAAAACATGAGAATTAACTACTATAATGTATTTGTAATAAAGATTACAATTGATGAATCCAGTAATCAGCTAGAATATTAAATTAACCTACATTTCATTCAAGACATGAGAATTAACTACTATAATGTATTTGTAATAAAGATTACAATTGATGAATCCAGTAATCAGCTAGAATATTAAATTAACCTACATTTCATTCAAGACATGAGAATTAACTACTATAATGTATTTGTAATAAAGATTACAATTGATGAATCCAGTAATCAGCTAGAATATTAAATTAACCAACATTTCAAGACATGAGAATTAACTACTATAATGTATTTGTAATAAAGATTACAATTAATGAATCCAATAATCAGCTAGAATATTGAATTAACCAACATTTCAAGACATGAGAATTAACTACCTACTATAATGTATTTGTAATAAAAATTACAATTAATGAGCTCATAATTGTAAATACAAGCAGTTTGTGTAATTTATCAATCATTGTGTAATACCTACTAGATAAATAAATAAAATACTTTAGCAACCGCTTTGATTGAGGATAAAGATCACTTGGCTTGAATGAGTAAGCTTTATTTATTATTTAACACAATTCACAAGTAATTAAATTAATAAGTAAGAGTTAAGTTTAGCAAATAAAAAGGAATGAATAATAATAATCAACATAAACAAACAATTTAACAATGTTCAACATCCGCTGGGAATATTATTTTCTATCACATTCTTTTCCGCTCAGGCCCATACTTAAGACTTCAGGGGCCCTGGGGAAATTTGCCAATGTGGCCATAGTGTACGTACGATTATTATATATGTTACAGGCAAAGTATATTATGCAGGCATTCTATACAACTAGTGGCTTGTAGGGGCAATAGCCCCTATTATTCTAGTTAGTATTTTGTACAAATTATTAGCCTCATGGGTCAACCTTGAATTATTGTTTAACATTTTTATTTGTTATAATATGTATGATAGTTAGTCATTACATAGCTGCATAAAGCATTTTGATGTCTGCCCTGTTTAAAACAAAAATTCCAAAGGACTGTTCATGCAGTGTGTTTATAATATAAACTTTCTAATCATAATACAACTAAGGAACATGTTCAATAGTAATTTTCATGACTATTAATTAAATATATATAAATTTCTTTGAATATATACCTACAAATTCACTTCGAAAAAATACATGGAGGTAATGTCATCCTCCAAATTTTAAATTGCAAAATCACCCAGCTAAAAGTAACATAAAGTGTTATTAATTCATTATTAATTCATCAAAACTCAGTGAACCAGAGGCTGAAGATGAGTTTTGATGTAAACTTGAAATATACCTCCACATTTTTTAGTAAATTGTGATTTTGCGCTTTATTTATAGTAACAGCGATATTTGCGCTTTATTTATAGTAACAGCGATATTTGCGCTTTATTTAAAGTAACAGCGATATTAAGAGAAAATTTAAACTCGGATTGGTTGATATTAGTTTTCTTTTTGGCATGAAAAATGTGTTCCCTTTGCCTACTCCAGGAATTCCTTCTAACTTTACACTATTTTCGGACATGCTAACACAACCAATCGTACTCCATTAGACCCTTAATAAACAATAACAATCAAATCAAAACAAATACATACTAATTTGACAGTTACAATCAGGTGATCTTTTGTTTGCCATCCGGGTGACGTCAGAATATGACGGGAATAGCACACCTATGTTTTTCCTTCCACCGTGCACAGTACATATTACAAATTACCATATGCTTTAAATAAAGTTAAACCACATGTTTTAAAGTAAACAAAGCAGACATTACCTAGATTTCAATGCTATTTAAATGTGAATTATTTTATTCCGTAACAACGTTTTGGTGCATAATTAAGAAAAATGAATATTTTTCCCCAAAATTTCATGCCGAGACCTTTAAAATGAGACCTCTCCCAGCTTTCTACGGTCTCCCGTTCGGTCACAATTTCATTGTAAAATTTTGGGCTTACGGAATTAGATATATAGATGACTAGACATTCTATACAATGCCTGAGGCTTTTAGGCAACATTTGAAATAGAAATATAATGATAAGATTTTATAAACTTTAACTAGGCATTGTGTATATTCTATAGAATGCCTACATGCGTGTAAGGCAAAGTATAAAATAAAGATATTTTTTCAAAGAATACCATTTATTTAACAAAATTGATTTATTATCTGTATGGTTAGGTTATGTTGATTAATTTTTTATTATATTGGCTAATAACAAAAAAAGTTGGTATACCTATCGAAAGTGGAAAAAAATCCGTTAGAATAATGCAATATTTTATACATGGTTGGTTTGGTTGGGTTAGGTTAGTTTATTTTTTATTAGATCAATTAAAGCCAAACAAGGATATAAAAAGTCCTACAATTGCGTATTTTAAACTTTACCTGCAGTGCCAACAGGCTCTATTTATTCATTTATTTATTTCTACGGCAAACAGCCATTTTACAATATTATGTACATCAAAGCAAGATGGTTTACACAAGTATGAATGACAACGAGTGTAATACACAGGCCCAAGATGACGTTTACTAAATGACTTAAAATATATATGATTGCAAATTACATTGATTGATTCTGACTCATTAAAAAATAATACATGCATGAACAAGCAAAATAAATAGTTACAGACTAAAATATTACAGGAGACATTCATACGATGAATCATTTCAAATACACAATAGTTATAACAACAGAATGACAAGGCAAAGTACCATACTTTGTCTGGTTCATTTTAGGCAATGTATAGAATGCCTGATTACATACTTTGCCTGTAACATACACAATAGGTGAAGCCAAATGCGTCTTACATGCACACTAATATTAACTAAGCAATGTAATAATGAAATAATAATTAAACTTGTTAAAATATCAGTATGCTGCATTTTGTATAAAGCAGTTTTATATAATATTTTACCTACAACCGTTTTTTAAAGTAGCCGTTTCAGTTCAGTTCTTAGAATTGAAAAGTTTCTCATAACAGCTTTGTTTACTCTCATAACAGCAAAGTTTTACTCATAACAACACAGGTAAGGGACCAACGAGGGTCAAGGATTGAGAGAGAAGAAGTAAAATTGTAATGATTCGAAATTCAACTAATCAGCTGTTCAGGCCAATTTAATTGTTGAGTGGTGCAATTAGCGGTGGGGCACACGGGAGGGACTATGGCTAACATATCTTGTATACGTCTTGCCACCCTAAGTTGAGGCAGCCCAAACTGACCGGGAGGGTCATTACCGGCTGGTCCCGCACGACCCTTTAGTTTTTGTTAATAGCTCACAAACCCTAAAAATTGGTAGCCCGTCAAATGTTCTGGAAAATCAATGGTAAAATTTTTAATATTGGCTGCCATTTTGGATAGAGAAGAGATAGCGAGCTCTGGTTTTCACCATTCTTTACGTTTTTGTAAACACTTCAAAATGAGGTGTCACTTGAAGGGGGTTTACATTTAAAATTTTGAGTGTCCCCCAAAAGGGGGGATTCGGGGGACAACTAAAAATGTTTCAATAGAAACCCCTATCAAGTCACACCTCATTTTGAAGTGATTACAAAAACTTAAAGAATGGTGAAAACCAGAGCTCGCTATCTCTTCTCTATCCAAAATGGCAGCCAATATTAAAAATTTTACCATTGATTTTCCAGAACATTTGACGGGCTACCATTTTGGATAGAGAAGAGATAGTGACCTCTAGTTTTAACCATTCTTTAAGTTTTTGTGAACACTTCAAAATGAGGTGTCACTTGAAGGGGGTTTACATTTAAAATATTTGAGTTGCCCCCCGAATCCCCCCTTTTGGGGCGACACTCAAAAATTTCAAAATGATAAAATGAAACTTCCTGCTAAGATTGCTCGACCACCAAAAGGATATCTCTGTATATTTACTTGGAAAAATATTAGAGGGGGGGGTCTTGACTTTTTATTCACCCATATATATTATATAAATCTATATATACAGGGTTAGTAAAAAGTGTGGAGACCCCCTGTTATTTTTTTAACGGCCCATACTAGAAAAACTAAACTCGGCACACCTTTATGACATGTTATGAAGTACTTTTTGGGCATAACCGTCACTTGGTGTACATCCCCAAAATGGGGGATTTTGGGGGAAACAATTCAAATAAAAAGACCCCTCGAGTGACCCCTCATTTTGAAGGTCCTGGTAAAAGAAAACCAACAACGCAAACTAGAGGTCTCTATCCCAATCCAGTAAAAAATGGCAGCCAATTGAAATTCTCAGAAGTTCAATTTAACTTACAGCTTTTCAAGTCTGGAGACCTGCTGTAAATTTTGTAGCGGCTCACACTAGGAAAACTAAACTCTACACACCTTTTTGGCATGTTATGAAGTACTTTTTAAGCCTAATAGCCACTTGCTTACCAAACCCAAAATGGGGGA